TGATTTTGCCACTTTGCCATTTTATTATTTCTCATATGAAATCAGATTTTAGAGGAAAAATTTCATTTTCTAATCCTTTTCATGAGCTGAATGATCCAAAAGTTGATGAGCGTAAACATTTGTAAAGGTAAATATAAGTAAATTGCATGTTTCATCAGCATTGCTTAAAACTCAGGGCTTGATCTTGTGCTTCTTGAACCTCCTGGAATGATCAGCAGCAGGTTTTTCTCTCTTCAGAGTCCAGCAGTAATCAGCCATCATGACTGCAGCTCAGCGTCCCTGATACCTGGTCTCCGTCTCTTTCTGATAAAATCACGGGACTCTAATGTGTTGTTCATTAACCAGGGGGTAAACTTTCTAAATTTAATTCACCTGCAAATATTTCTAGTATCAACTTGTAAAGGTTTCAGAATTTCTTCATTTCAGGAATTAGAAAAAGAATTGTGTAGGATACAAAACATAGATACCAGCACATGTACACAAAAATGTAAAAAAGTGCATGTGGCGACAAATCAAAGTTTTGACCTCATTGAGCAAAACCAACGTAATATTTGGATTCAGCACGTTGCAATGGTCCAAAATCAGCTCAAAAAACTTTGACACCAAAATGGATGTAGACCAGCGTAATAATTAGATTTCAACTTGCCGAAGATTAAAGAAGCCACGAGGGACTTTTCTGTTGAACTGCAGGCAGCGTTTACACAGAAAACACAGGAGACAAATAAGGAAACAGATGAAAAATGTCAGTAATAAATGATCTATAGTAGTAAAGTCAACATTCTTTTCCAGATGTTTCCAGTGGCTAACAATTTTTGTGAAATAAATAAATAAATACACTGAATAAATACCGACATACTGAACATTTAATAACTGTTTTCTGATTGGAAAAGAAAAATTCCTGAAGTTTTTTTTCCCAATTTTTCTTTCATAGATGCCAAAATTTTGTTTGTGTCTTCTTCTTTATCGAGTTTTTTTTGTGGTTAGCAGCCAGTTGGTTTCATTTGAGGTTTCTCATGTCCCTAATTAACATAAAGTCACAGAAAAATATGAATGAAGACATGTAGGAATACAGAAAACAGCCTGAATAAGAGCTGATGTATGGAAATGTTCAGATTAATCCAAGACATTCATTGAATTGTGTCATTTTTCATCACTTAAGTTATTTATTTTGGTATTTAATTCTTGAACATTTCTTGTTTTCCATGTTACACACAACAAAACCAGACATTTGAAGTTGGATTGCGGGAACTTTAAGCTGCATTTTTCCCTATTTTTGGACAATTTATAGACAAAACAAATGAGATTAATAAGTGTCAGGTTAACAAAAGCATTTCATTCATTGGACTAATGGTGAAAACACAGAGATCCATCATGTATGTTCCTCTGTGTCGGACAGAAAAGGCTGCTCCCTGTCTTACTACAAAGTGAGGAAGTATTTGTGCTGCCGTGTTGGTGTCTTACATCAGTGTACAGAGTCTGGATCGTGAGGCTTTGTGCTTTCAAACAATGTTGCTCTCAGAAATGGGACCCAAGAGCAAAACTAAAGAGTCTTTTCTCAGAAGAACAAGGTAAAAAAAAAAAAAAAAAAATCAGAGCAGGCAAAGTACAAAAGACCAGGCGGAGGCAAAATCCCAAAACACAGGCGAGGTCAAAAACACCGTCAGCATCAAAACAGGCGAACGGAGATCAGAGTGCTGGAAGCCGGCGGAGAGCTGAGGGTGAAATACTGTAAACACCGCCGGGCTGATTCATGAAGAGGCTGCAGGCGAGACATGGAGGGAATCACAGGACACAGCAAACACAGTGGATGTAAGAAGGATGGAAAAGCGTGACAGACAATCAGGGCTGATGTCGGTTAAAGGTGCAGTCCGCAACTCTGCAAAGAGGTTTAGCTTGTTATTTAGATCGTCAGCATGCAAACAGCAAGTGGACCACAAAATAAAAACCACACCAAATCATGTAGTAGAATTTTTACTTTAGTAATTACGTCCAGATTCAAACAGACGACCTCAGCGTTTACCAGGGATCTCCAAATAATTTGATTAAAATTGTGGTACGTCATGAAAATCACTTTATTCTACGTGTCTCATTAAACCAAACACCAAAAAATAAATTGTCTTGCATTAGACTTTTTTTTTTTAAATAAATAAAAATGTTGCACTTTAAAGTTGCTAAGTGCCTCAGCTGCTCTAAACATCCACGTTTTAAAAATTCAGAGAGAT